GGAGAGAAGAGCAGGGAATCAGTGTCGGGGGGTGACCTGGCTCCAGAGGCTGCTCTCCCCGGGAGGCCCACAGGGTGGGTCCCCGAAGCCCTCCCGCCAGCCTGGACCTCACCTGCAGCCTGGCCCAGGGGTCACTCCAGCTGAAGCCCAGGCCTGGGATCTGAGCGGATCCCCCGCTAACTAACCCACTGACCTTGGGGGAGGTCGCATGACCTTGGAAGCCTTAGCTTCCTGAGCTGTGAAGAGAGGCAGTAATCTCCCCTCAGAGCTGTTCTCAAGAGCCCCGGGGGTCGGGGGGCCAGTGTGCTCAGCACCTGTGTGGGCCTGGCACAGCCCAGGCAGAGGGCAGCACACTGAAGGAGCAGGTCCCTATGCTGATCATCACAGGGGACAGCAGGGCTCTGCACTCAGACTTGGGGTCTGAGCTGTGTGACCAGGAAAATCACCGCACCTCTCTGAATCTCCTTTTGTGAACAGAGGAGGAGAATACGGCCACACAGGCCTGTGGTGCAGATGGACAGATGCACTGCGGGTGGCATCTAGGTGAGGGAGGGCCTGCCAACTCTCTTGTCAAGGGCCAGGAGGCTCTCCCACCTGCAGGGGCAGGGAGGGAAGGTCCTCCCGGCATCCGTCCCACGGCTCTGCTGGCCAAGCCCTGCCCTCCAGGGGGCACCCTAAGACCGCCTGGCAGCTGCTGCCGGGTACCCAGGTCTGCCACCACACCAGGCCCAGCACTTTCTCCAGTGCAGGGAGCAGGAAATGAGAGAAAACTGGGAGAAAATGAATCATCTGGAAAAGGAAGAGCAGAGAGGCTGAGAGAGACCCAGTGAGTCAGCGCAGGGCAGAGCCAGGGCTCGGGCAGGAAGAGGAAGCTGAGAGGGCCAGGCTGGGCCCCCGCCTCCACTGCCCCACGGCCCTCTTGCAGGCTACCGGGCCGCCAGGAGGCAAGGAAGGCCCCAGGCAGCTCAGACCGAGGGGGCCTTGCAGCCTGCCGTCCCCGGACTCTGGTCCCTTGGGACTGGGTGACGACTGCTCTGACCTTCCCAACTCACCTCCTGGGAGCTGTCTGCATTGCTCATCTGGTCGTCGATGTCAGGAACCACTTGCAAAGGCCCGCTCAGCGATGACAAGGACTGCCTGCGGGGAGGCGGACGAGTCAGGCTGGCTCCCCGGGCCTGGCCAGCCAGAGCCCCACCGCTCTAAGACTCGGCTGGACTCGACAGACAGGGCTGGGCCCCAGCTCAGCCCCCTCTCGACATGAATGACTCTGTCTCCCAAGCCTCAGTTTTCTCATCCGACAATGGGGGACATTTCTACCGCACAGGCTGCGGTGGAAAGTCAGTGAGGTAATTAATGCCAGTCCTATAGTTGGCATCAGCTGGCACGCGGGGGATGCTCGACCCTGAGTTCTGGCGGCACCCTTCCCATCTCGCCCGTGGGGAAAATCTGGAAAACTGACTCTGTCCGGCAAAGAAACAGGCCCGGCCTCAGGCTGCTATCCTGGGTGGGATGCGCAGGGCCTAAGCACGGGCAGAACGCACACTTCCGCCCAGCCCGGCACCTGCCCACTTACCAGGATGCAATGATGGCACTGAGGGCCTCCAGGACGTCGGCGGCAGCGAGGCGCTGCTGGGGGTCGAGGACCAGCAGTTTCCGGATGAGACACACGGTGTTCTCGGAAACGCGCCCATCCCTGATGCGGTAGAGGGAGAGGGCTCAGGCGGTGCCCCGGGCTGCTGGCTCTCTCCAACCCACCACTTTGGTGTTTCCGCCCCTCCCCAGGGAGTGGGACTCACTCAGGGATGGTGTACTCCGCGGCCTTGATCTTGCGGAAGAGCTCCTGCGGGATGCTGTCGTAGAAGGGGAACTGGCCGTAAAGCATGGTGAAGAGCACCACGCCCAGGGCCCACATGTCGCTCGGCTTGCCCCGGTACGGCCGGCCTGTGGGGCACACAGACACACGCACACTCAGCCCAGGCCTGGGGAAGGGCGAGGCCCCGGGCTTCCCTCAGCTCACCAGCCCCGTGCCTGAGATCCTACCACGGGAGCCCCGCACTTCCTCCCCGGATGATGCCCCACCTCGGAGTGACCACCGAGGAGAAGGGACTACACTTGGCCTTGTGCAGGCCACCCACCGGCATACCAGCCCTGCTCTGCCAGACAACAAGCCCTTGGGGCTGGGCCTGGGGCTGGGTCTACGGCCCTGGCACCCAGCCAAGCAGCTCACAGAGCAGGCGGCCAGGAGCGTGTGTGTGTGTGTGTGTGTGTGTGTGTGGAACCGAGAGCTAACCGGCTCTGGGCCAGTCAGCGACCCCTGGCCCAGCCCCTATCCCTTCGCCCCAGAGCGCTTCACCCTGTCTGCGAGGATCCCCTCCCCTGTTTACTTCCCATCCCCCCTGCGAGAAGGTAAGTTCTCAGATGCAGGCGCCCTCTGCTTGGCGCTGAGCCCCGGTGCCCAGCAGGACTCCAATATTTGCTAGAGGAATGAATATCCATTTAAGTGAACTCTCTGTGCCGTTTCCCTCTCTGCAGAAGGGAGCGAGCATTTAAGCAAGCGCCACACTGGGATGGCATTGGAAGATATGCTCTCATTTCTTTACGTCTCCGCCAAACTCCATGAATTATTTTCTCTCCTCTTCCAAAATGAGGCACAGGGATGTCACCTGTCCACCACCACACAGTTGACTGGAGAAGCCCGGCTCCGCCGGCTCTCAGGGCAAGCCATTATCTACCGCCTCCCATCGGCAAGCAATACAACACCTCAAGCCTTGCGAAGTTCCCCGCCCGCCCAGTCCCTGGGACAGCAGACTCAGCAGCAGCCCAGATCCTAGAATGTGACTCAGCTCCCCCACGGGTGTGGAAGAGGTGCTGCCGGGCACCTCACTGTCCCCTCCCAGGACAACCAGGATCCCTCCTATGGGTCCTGAAGCCGCCTGGATGGCGACAAATGCCTTTGGGGTAGAGGGTACTGGTTCTGGAGGGCTCTCCAGGGCCACTGAAGGTCAAGCAGCTTAACCAGGTGGGTGTGTACTGCACATGTGCAGGGAAGTATCCTTACAGGCCTTGGCCTGTGCTCCAGAAGGTACCACGGGTGTCCCTGACCTAGGCTATTACTTCATCTGTGAAATGGGGCCAGGACGCTGACCTCACAGGACACACAGGGCTCACAGGGCTGCTTGGGGAGTGAGCTGCTTTTTGCCCTGGCTGGTACAGTATGCGATTTTGTGGAGATGACCCTCTGCTAAGCTTTCTCTAAGGCTGTGTCACCCTGGCCCCTTTCCAATCCCCGGGGCCAAAGAGCAGTGTGGATGGCCTTGTGCAGCAGACCCCATGGTCAACCCCGTGGTCAACCCCAGGGCAACCCCGTTCTCCTGGACTGTGCTCTGCCATGTGGGGTCATCACCAGAGTTCACTGAGCCACGACTCTTAGCTGCTGTGGCTGCAGGCGGTGTGGGTTCCCTCAGCCTGAGCCCCAGGACTTCTGCCCTGGCCTGGATGGGAGCTGAACAGCCCCCTCCAGCAGAAAAGCTCCCCCGGGAGCTCTGCCTGGGCAGGTGACCTTGCCCGGAGCTTTGGCTTTCCGAGGGGACTGAACTTCAAGCCTTCCTTTCTGTAATGATAATGCCAGCTAATGTTAATTAGCCAGACAGCAGGTTAAAGGCCTTTAATCCCACGGGCCTTATGAAGCGGGGGCTATTATCATCCCAGTTTTATAGATGTGAAACTCGAGGCCCAGAGAAGTCAGTAACTTTTCCAAGGTGACACAGTTATTGACCAGACTGTAACTCTATGCGGGCAAGGTCCTGTTTGCCTTTTCACAGCCCTGGGCCTGATGCCTGAGGCTGTGCTTGTAACGCAGAACCAACAAAGTGGCAGGCCTCGACTCAGAGCCCACAAGGCGGGACGCGTAGTCATCATCCTGCTTCAACCTCTTAACCATGTGCGGAGGCAGCAGCGCGTCCCATTTTGACCCAAGAGGAGACGGGGGCTCAGAGAAGGGGGCTGAAGGCCAGAACGAGAGCCGGATCTCGGGTCTCCAGGTCTAGGACTGAACCCACTGAAGCAGTGGGTTCCTCTGTCTCCTCCTCTGAGACCCACATGAAGCTGGAAGAGCCAGGGAGAGGCCCTGGGCAGCCGAAGGAAGCGCGTGCGTGGGGAGGCCCCCTGGCCTGGCGTGGCGGAGGTGGCTGACCACAGCCAGCCCTTCCAGCCCCAGCGCGCACAGTCACAGGCCCCAGCTCGTAGGCCTGCGCTGAGGGCGGAGCCTGGTGCATCGTCCTTGCTCTGTCACCCACAAGGATGCTTTGAGGAATCTCGTGGAGGGTGTCCAGGCTGGGCTGGTCCCTGGGGAGTTGGGGTGCAGCCCTACCACCTGGCTCCCTCTAGCAGAGGCCGTGGTGACTCCAACCCCAGGACGTCGGTGACCATGACCAGTCACCATGTTGACTCCATGGTGCGTCAACCTCAAGGTCCCGGGGAGGGGGAGGTGGCAGCACGGCCTGGGAAAGGCCCGGCACTGCAGCAGAAGCCTCAGCAGAGAGAGACCTCCAATGTGTGATAATGCTTCGGTGAGTGTGCTGGCCTGGGGGTGCTGGCCCCAGAGGCACCCTGGAACCTCCGTGTGGAAGGGATGGGAGCAGACCTGAAGCCCTTGGTTCCCTAAGTATCGGGACGGAAAGACCCAATTTGGCAAAGGACACAGGGAAAGGAAAGAAAGCATCCTGGGGAACATGGGCTCGGGCAGGAGGCTGGCCGAGCCGTGAGCCTCAGTTCTCAGGTTTACACTTAGCTATGACAAGGGGACTTGGAATCTTTACCTCACAGGGTAGCTGTGGGGTCTTAAGCAGGTGATGCAGGTCATGTGCTCAGCACAGTGCCTGGTACGTAGCAATAAGATCAGTGGCTAATCGGTGCATAACTGGCTTTTTTATTTTGTGTGCTGGCTGTTTCATCCCCACTAGAAAGTCAGCTCAGCGCTCACGGAAGCAGGGAGATCTGTGTGCCTGTTCACTGTTGTATCTGAAGTGTCTAGAACAGGGCCTTCTACATGGTAGGCCCTTGGAAAATTTGGGCAGGAGGGAGGGGAGATGAAGGAAGGAAGGGAGGGAGGGAGGGAGGGACGGAGGGACGGAGGGATGGAGGAGGGACGGAGGGACGGAGGACGGAGGAGGGACGGAGGAGGGACGGAGGGAAGGAGGAGGGAAGGAGGAGGGACGGAGGAGGGACGGAGGGACGGAGGAGGGACGGAGGAGGGACGAGGAGGGACGGAGGGAAGGAGGAGGGATGGAGGGACGGAGGGGGGACAGAGGGGTGGAGGAGGGACGGAGGGACGGAGGACGGAGGAGGGAGTAGGAGGGACGGAGGATGGAGGAGGAGGGACGGAGGATGGGAGGAGGGACGGAGGGGGAGGAGGAGGGACGGAGGAGGGAGGAGGAGGGACGGAGGAGGGATGGAGGAGGGACGGAGGAGGGATGGAGGGACGGAGGGGGGACAGGGGTGGAGGAGGGACGGAGGAGGGACGGAGGACGGAGGAGGGACAGAGGAGGGATGGAGGAGGGATGGAGGACGGAGGAGGGACGGAGAGGGGACAGAGGGGTGGAGGAGGGACGGAGGGACGGAGGACGGAGGAGGGAGTAGGAGGGACGGAGGAGGGACGGAGGATGGAGGAGGAGGGACGGAGGAGGGAGGAGGAGGGACGGAGGAGGGATGGAGGAGGGACGGAGGAGGGACGGAGGAGGGACGAGGAGGGACGGAGGGAAGGAGGAGGGATGGAGGGACGGAGAGGGGACAGAGGGGTGGAGGAGGGACGGAGGGACGGAGGACGGAGGAGGGAGTAGGAGGGACGGAGGAGGGACGGAGGATGGAGGAGGAGGGACGGAGGAGGGAGGAGGAGGGACGGAGGAGGGATGGAGGAGGGACGGAGGAAGGCAGGAAGGAGGGAACTAATGAAGGAGCAGACCAAAGGGAGAGCGGTCTTGAACCTGCTCGCGGCTTCCTTTCGCCCCTGAACGGTGGCTGACGTTGTCCAGGGGACTTCCTCGGGCCCTGCCCTGCGGGCCTCCGCCCGCCCCTCCGGCGTCCCCCTGGAGCAGGCCCCCACACCCCAAGCCCCCACCTGTCCTTGCAATCACAGCTCAAACGTCACCTCCTCAGGGACGTCCTTCCAGTGCCCGTTGTCCACACTCACAGACATGATCTCAGAGAGTCGTTGCCCCTGCACCAGAGCGAGGATCGCCACCTGCCTCCCCCAGAAGACCCCGACTCTGTACACAGCCAGACGGCGCCGGTCTGGACCACCGCTGAGCCCCCAGCACCTAGGCCGGCCTTCCCCCGCCACACACACGCTCTGCCGAAGGAATGAGCCACTGTGGGGCCCGGTGGTGCGGAGCCCTTGGGGCCCGCTGCCTGGCTCGCCGCACGTACCGCTGAGCACATCTGGGCTGATGTAGGCAGGGCTCCCCCTCTGGTCCTTCAGCAGGTCCCCCTCGCTCACGAGATGCTTCCCGAGGCAGAAGTTGGTGATGGTTATCCGATGTGTCCTGGGAGCCGGGGGCAGAGAATGAACAAATTTCATGTTGTACCCGCAGGCACCCAACGGCCCGCCCCCCCGGCTCGCCAAGGGAGCAAAGGACTCACACCACATCCCTTCCTGCTCCCCGGGGCTGCATGAGCAGTGCCATTACGGCTGCTGAGCTGTCCCCTCGGCACCTGGGATCAGAGGCACTGAGTCACTCTGACCCAGTGAGCGCTCCAGAGGGGCTCCCCGGAACCTGCTGTCCGGGCTGAGCCTTGGGGCCACAGCTTAGGACTCAGAACGACTTGCAGAGACTTCCCAAAACCACCTCACGGAACATGGACATTTGGAATGACTGGAGCTCTAGTTCGGCTCCCTCATTTACATACAATGAAAAGGAAGGTCAGCAGGGCTCTGGAGTCCACCCACGGGGGCCACTTTTGTCCCCCTGGCCGATCCCTTTGGTCATCACCCTGGTCATTGTCAATCAGCATCCCGGACAGTACTAAAAACGAATGCCTACAGAGCACTTAGCAGGTGCAGGCCCTGGCTTGTGGGTCCGATATGGACTGTTTGCATTCACCCCTCGCAGGTGATGCAGTCTAGGTACAGAAAAACGAAGGGACCTGCTCAGGGTCATGGAGCTAATGAGCAGGATCCAAGCCTGGGTCTGCCTGACCCCAGAGCCTGCACTCTGGACGGCCACCAGTTGGTACCTACATGTCCCTGGGCACTGCCCAGCCCCTCAATTTCCCTTCAATTCCATCAAAGCTAACTCAGCCCTTGTCTTGGACTTCAGACTCTCCTTGGACCTAGAAGACCCCAGACTCCCTGGTCAGAGAGTCATGGGCGAGAGCAGCTTAGGGCTCAGATCCTTTTATGAAACTCACAATGTACACAAAAGGAAGAGGCCCAGGGAGGATGCCTTACTCCATACCTGGGTGGTGGGGGTGGGCAGCCCCTCCAAGAGGCCCTGTTGGGGAGGGCCAGTGAGAAAGGGCACCTCTCCACCCACACGGGGCAGGGGCCACCTGCCCGGCTCCGTGTCACCTGGCTGGGCAGAGAAGCTGGAGGACGGCAGGAAGGGCAGCCCTGTGAGGGGCCTCCCACCGCCTCTCACTGGCCGAGTCTCCAGGGTGAAGAGGGGGTCGGCTTAGAGGTACAGGGTGTGTGGGGCTGAGCATGGAATTCCCCAGGAGCTGTGACCAACAGGCTCGGCGAGCCCTTCGGCTATCTCGGGGAATTCTGCTGGCAAAGGGCTTGTTACAAAACAAAGGTTAGTCTGTCCTCTGCATTCCAAATGGAAACCTCGACTCTCGCTCTGCACACAGGCCTGCCCTGTCAGATGCCACAGCAATCTGCCTGGTAGCCCCCCCAGGGCAGCCAGGGCTGGAGAGTGCAGGCAAAGGGTCTGGCCAAGGACACCGTGTCAGGAAGTGGATTGCTCCAGCTCTGGGCTGCCCACGTCACTGCCCTGGATCTGGGACTGTGCATCTGCAAGGCCCCCACAGAGCAGAAGGCCCACGGTCCGTCCCCCCACCTCAGCCGGCTGCTGCAGCGGGCAGTGTGTCCTGCAGGGGCTCCCTGAGGCGCGAGACGCTGGGAGGGGACCGCTCAGGGCAGGGTCTGGGGAGCTTGGAAGTTGGGATGCCCGGGCCCCAGGCCCAGCTCGGCTGTTCCCTTGGCTGCAGGGCCGTGGGTACCTCATTTAATCTCTAATTAAACCTGTTTCCTCATCTGCCAAATGGAGAATATTAGCTGTGTGAGGGCTGTGTGAGGATGTGACAAGAAGACAACCCCCGGGAAGGCACAGAGCCGGGGACCTGGCAACTAGTAACTGACTGCTAACGGCTAGCTTGGATTACCCTCTCCTCCTCAGACGGGGGGCATGGCGGGCTAGTGATGGGACACCCCAGGAAAGAGCCCATCTGAGGCGGCAGGCGAGGGGAGCCACGCTGCGGCCACAGGCCCCGGAGTGAGCAGGCCAGGGCGGGCTGGGCTTCCCACCAGCCGTGCCGCCGGCCTCGCTGCCCTCTGGGCCTGGGCCTGGGCCAGGGGCGCGAGGACACCGTGTGTGGCTGCGCCGAGCTGGCCCATGGCGCCGAGGGTCCTGGAGGCTGGCCCACAGGAAACCACACGGTCAGCTCCGAGCCCTCCCGAAGCCTGGCCACACTCCCCGGCCCTGCCACTACCGCCCGAGGCGGCGGGTGGCGCCCAGACCCTTGGGAGCCCCGGTGGCGGCAGGGGGCAAGGGCAGTGGGGTTGAAGGGAGGCAGCTCTGCGTGAGTTACTCTTTAGTTATGGCCCTTTGGGCTACCAGCGTTTTCCTCCTTTTCTAGGAACTTGGTGTGCAACTTGCTTACCCAAAAAGAAAGAAGGAAGGAGAAAGAACCCACAGCAGACCTCATATAACCCTGAAAGGGTATTTCAGGTTTCAACCCTTGCCTTTTCTCCCAGGCAGGGTGAACCCGTCATGGTAGCCACCTCCCAAACACTTCTCCCTGTTTCCTCCCCTGAGGCCGCTCCGTTCTGTGAGCAACAGAGGAGGCCTCCGGCTTGGAGTCAGGGCCCCGGCCTGGCGGGCAGGCGGGGGCTGGAGCTCCTCCAGGTCGGCCTTCGAACTCTGCAGGGGTGCGAGCGGGAAGGCAGGGGTGTGCCTGCAGACGCGCAGGGGGCAGGGTGCAGTGCTCGTGCTCGGTCCCCCTGCGCGGCTGCCAGAGCACCACGAGTCAAGTGAGGGGCGGCCAGAACCTCCGTCTGCCCCAACGCCCCAAAAAGGGGATCAGCAGAGGAGAAGCAATGCAGCCAAGACACAGGGTGTGAGAGGGGTACTGGTGCTCCTCAATCCGAGGGAAACTCACGGGTGCACAGGCACACACACACATGGGCACACACACACGCACACACACAGGGAGCTGCACACCGGCACACACACACACACGGGTGTGCACACACACACACACGGAGCTGCACACAGCTGCACACACACAGCTGCACACGGGCGCACACACACACGGGCACACAGACATGGAGCTGCACACGGGCACACACACACACAGACACGGAGCTGCACACAGGCGCACACGCACACACACACAGAGCTGCACACGGGCACACACACACGGGCACACAGAGCTGCACACGGCACACACACACAGGGAACTGCACACGGGCACACACACACGGGCACACACGGGTGCACACACACGGGCGCACACACATGGCACACACACACGGTCGCACACACACACGGTCGCACACACACACAGGGAGCTGCACATGGGCGCACACACACACAGGCGCACACACGGGCACACACGGGCGCACACATACACGGGCGCACACACAGGCGCACACACACATGGAGCTGCACATGCATACACACACACACATACACACACGAGGAGCCACTGCTGGTACTCGAGAGGGTCTGGACTTCTCGACTATATTCCCGGGAGCGAGGTGGCCTGGGGGTGGGGGGGGGACTTCTGTGGTCAGCGGCACAGGGGCCCAGTGCACGCTCCCACAAGCACCCTCGGGCTGCTCAGTTAGCTCAGTTAGAGCCGGAGTGGGGCTGCGGGGGAAGGCTGTAGAGGACGTGGGCTCCACAGCCGGATGCACTTACGTGGTCAAAAAACATGCCCCCTCTGTGTGAGCAGTGAGCCTGCCGTCCAGAGCAGGAAGGTACTGGGCCAACGTCCCACAGAAGGCCGGGGCCGCAAGTCCAAATAAGACGACGTGCCCTCAGGGCTGGCGGGGTCCAGGTTCTCTAGCACCTGAGTCCCCCGCCCGGGCTCACCGCCGGCCCGCGCCAGCCGCCCAACCCCCAGCAGGCCCCGTCCCCCGGGAAGCGAGCTACAGGCCATCCCGCACGCAGGGCACTTACGACGGGCCCAGCCCCGTGAGGCGGTTCCACGTCTCAGGCCAGTCTCTGCAGGGAGGTTTAATCACCTCCACCTCCACAGAGGAGGAGACGGAAGTTCAGAGAACGGCTTGCTAACACAGCAGCCTCTCGATACGCTGATGAACCCATCACCCAACACGTAATCAAACGAACTCCATGGTCTTGAACGGAATGAAGAGGCAGCGCTGGGCTACGGGCCAGGTCTGACCCCCGAGCTTCCCCAGCTCCCTCCCTCAGCCCGTCAAGGATTCCAGCAGCCCTGGAGTTTTGGCTTCCTGCAAATCGTTACTCATCCTTCAGGGAACCGACTCAGATGGCCAGAGTCTCTGCCCACCTCCCCGGGCCCCCAGCCAGTGCTTTCTGGTCAGCGCCCCATTGCATGGTGGCTCTGGGAGATGGTCCGTCTGTGGCCCTGATGCTGGCTGGTGGTGGCAGAAGGGCGGTGACCTCCCCATGGCGTCGGGGGCGGGGGTCTGGTCCCCAGGGGCCTATCTCCCTGCAGCTTCTTCTCTCGTGCCTGCTGTGGCTCTGGCCACTTCACAGGGACAGCGGGCCCCCTCGTGAGCGAGTGGCCACATTAGGGAACAAGTCACCACCACACCGCTTCTGCTGTGAGACTGGTGCCTGCCATCTGCAAGCCCTCAGACCCACCTCAACGCCTGGCAGTGAGCAGGTGGCAAGGTGTTGGCTCTCCCTGGGGACAGCAAGGGAGGCAGCGGGCCCTTCCCAGCCCTGCATGTCTATGGTCGTGGTGGTGCCTGCCGGTGGTCCTGGGCCCCTATGAGGCTTGGGGCCCCTCCAGCTGAGGGGCGGGGGTGACAGCCTGTGGCCAGGGCCTCGTGTGATCTCCCTCTGCCACTGATGGACCGAGGGTGCTAGGGTGAGCCACCCAGACCCCCTCCGAGATCGAGGCACCTTCTCCCTGCTGCTGAGAGTGATGGCTCCTGACCACTCATAGCCGCATCCTTTTCCGGGAAGCCCCCTTAGCCAAAGGAAGCTGCCCTGGCCATGGCTAGCCCGCCCTGCCCTGGGCACAGCCTGCGTTCTGAGGCTGGTCGCAGTGGGCGTCCAGGGCCATGAGCCCCCTTGCCTCAATTTGGGGTATCTGAAGGGCCCCTGGCTCTCGAGTTTTCCAGGCTGAGGCCCCACTGTGACTGTACCACAGCTCTGCTTCTCCCTCTGCCCAATCCTGCCCTTTGCCCCGAGAGCACTTCTTAGTAAACCTGCACACACATCTCAGAGTGTGTTTCCTGGGAATCCGACCTATGACGAGAACTCATTTTGCTCACCTGTCATTCCTTCACTAATTTCTCCATTTTTTATAGTCATTTACTGAGCACCCACTAGATACACACAAATGAATGGTCCAAGGAGGATCTCTGGAATCCTTCCCAGAGCTCCCTTTCTGTGGCCTGTGGCCTTTAAGACTCCCCTTCTTCTTTTTTTTAGGCAGGCTCCATGCCCAGCCTGGAACCGAATGTGGAGCCTGAACTCACAACCCTGAGATCAAGACCTGAGCCGAGATCAAGAGTTGGACGCTCAACCGACGGAGCCACCCAGGGGCCCCTAAGACTCCCCTCCTTCTAAGCAAGCACCATATTCCCACGTGGCAAAAGGCCGAAGCAGATATCCCATCCTCCAGGCCCTGGGACTCTCCTGCAGAAGCAGGCTGGTGTGAGCTGGAAACAGGGGGCACTGGAGGGCACTGGGTAGCTGAAGCATGTAGCCCGTGCCAGCCGCAAGGTCACATCCCGACAGAGGAGGGTCTTACCTCTTATTGAGCACCATGTTCCCAAGCTTCAGGTCTCTGTGCACAATGTTTTTCTGGAAAAGCAACAGGCACATGGCTTGGACCATGAAGGACAGAGCCAGGGTTGGGCCCAGCCTGTAAGATGTGGGCTCTTCAGGGGTTTGGGGAGGCAGGAGAAAGGCCCTACAACATGTCTCTTTGGGCTCCTGCCTTGATTTGTCAGCACAGACAGATCAGGACCGTTCTAAGGCCTCATCAGCCATGGGTAGGGATAGGGGGATATGCGAACCCAGGCAGTCTCTGCCCTACCAGGGCGGTTTCCCCAGCTTTCTCCCCTCAGAGCGGCAGCCAGCAGGGAAAACCACTCCTGCCTCCACCTCCAGCAAACACCCTGCCGAGAAAAACAGTAGCATCTGCTCGGATCTGCGGTCAGAGGTGAACGCTCACGGTTCTGGTGACCAAGTAGTGCAGGCTCAGCCTGCAGAAGCTGTGGGCCTGGAAGAGGCCCAGGCTCTCCTCACCGCACCTTGGGGTGCCTGACACCCCAACCCTAGGGAAAGCGGAGAGACAGGCTGTGGCTGCCCGGGGGGCATCCCACCGTCGTCACCTCTGCTGGGAGACTACAGGCTAGCCTCTCAAAGACAGGGAGCTGCTCTGCTGGGCTCTGCTGGGCAGCCCGGGCAGCGCCTCCCAGGCACTTGGGCTGAGGCCTGCAGCCCTGTACCTCGCTGGCTACACAGGTCATCTAGCCACTTTCCTTCTGGACATTCCAGCTGCAGAGCACACCTGGGGGGTGGAGGGGGGGGGACAGGCCCCATAGCTGCTTCCACGGAGCAGGAGCAAGAAGGGTGGCCTTCTGTGGCAGTGGGGCCTGGAGGCTTCTCGATCAACCGGGAGCCCAGGACGGGCCAGCTAGAGGTGGAGGGACTGGCGGGGGGGGGGGGGGGCAGGGCCTCACCTGGTGCAGGGCTTCCACCACGCGCACCACGTCGTAAAAGATGACCACGGTCTCCCGCTCGCTGAGCCTCTTCTCCTTGATGACGTAGTGCTGCAGGTTGATCAGGTCGGCGGTCTTGTCGCTGAAGTCATGCGCACAGAGGCAGTCGAGGACAAGGCAGATGCGCTTCTTCATCTTCTTAACCATTCGGCTGGATTCTGTGTCCTCGACAATTTCACAGGTGCGGTCCTGGGAGACAAAGGGGCAGACCAGGGCTTGGTGTGGGCCCGCAGGTCCAGGGGCGGGGGTCGGGGAGTCTCCTCTGGAGCTAGAGACACACACCAACGCCAAAGCCTGGAACGAGCTGCACATGTGCGGGGGCGGCGGCCTGGACCAGGGGCTGACGTTAAAGGCTTCGTGCTCCGATCCCAACGCAAAGGGTTCGGATCAGGGCTGAGCGTGTAATGCCAAAGGGACCTCTGGGCCCAGGGTACGGGCAGCAGAGCCGGGGCCCTGGGGCATCCCCCCTCCGCGACAGTCCCAGAGGTTCCAGCCATGACCAAGGTCCGAGATAGTAGAAGTGAGGCATTCTGTGTGTGCAAGACAACTGCTTTCACATGGGAGCCGGACTCCTTGGGCAGCCACGGAACAGTGGGTAAGGCAGGGTTCAGGCCCCAGCTCCTGCTCATTCCAGCTGTGGGACGTGGGGCAGTTCACCTCACTTCTCCAAGTCTCTGGTCCCTCATCCATCAAAGGGAGCCGGCACCCTCCCTCCCAGGTTGTCCAGGGACTACGGCAACCCATGCCAGTGCCCAGGAGGTGGGTCCTGCTACCAGTGTGCGGTGGTAAGTGCTGGGCCCGTTTTCCTCGCCGAAAAGACATTTCTTTTTCTTTCTTTTTTTTTTTAAAGTAATCTCTATAACCAGCGTGGGGCCTGAACTTACAACCCTGAAATCAAGAGCTGCGTGCTCTACCGATGAGCCAGCATGGGGAGACGCTCAGTGTCAGCCCCAGCAGACTGACGCTTGCCTCCGGGGAACTGCTGGGGACGGAACAGCCACGTTTCTCCTTCGGAGCGTGACCACACCTCTCGTTCTCTCTTCCCCAGAGGCCCAGTGGTGTCTGGCACACAGGTGACTCTAGACATGCTTCTAACCACCCAGCTTCTATTATCCAAGAGGATACAAAGCAGGGCCAAGCTCTGGCAGCTGCCAGAGATGAAGCACTGAAGACTCATGATCACCCTCGGTTTGGTTTCATGTAGAAGGGAAATGCTGATTTTCAGAGTTGTTTCTAATGCACATCTAAGAATAAAGACCTTGGTGGGTGTGCGGGGCGGGGGGAGCATCTTCCCTTTATCTAGTCCAAGAACTCAAGCTGACAAGGAAGTAACGCGATGAGTGTGTGCAGGGATGGCTCAGGCTGCACACACGCCCGCTCACCTTCCTGACCACCTCGTGGGGCAGGTGTCCATCGCTACCTCCATTTTACAGATGAGGAACCTGAAGTGTAGGGACAAGGTCACGCAACCTGACTCCCGGGCCGCCGGCTCCCAAACCTCTGTGGCTCCCTGCCCCCACACTGCCTCTCGGGGGCCGGGTCCATCGGGCAAGAGTGGCCCTGGCCAGCTTGTCTAGCCGAGGGTCCTGCAGAAGCTCTGCTGGGGGCCTGAGCAGGAGGCCTCCTGAGCGTCCTGAACCGGGCCTTCCTCATTTCTGGAGACACAATTCGGCCCCGAGGAGGGCTCTTTTCAGGGTACAAGTTACTCATTAGTACGTTCCCTAAGAGACCTGGAACGTGTGAGCACGGGGAGCTCGGGGATACTTGCTCAACTAACTGGGATGCCTGGGCAGGCGAAAGGACTGTTGATACCAACACCAACTGTGGGATCCACAGGTGGCCCACGAGGCTCATCCCTCCCTGGCCTGGCCCATTCCTGACACGACACAACAGGAAAGAGCCCAGGCGTCTTTAAATGACTTCATGCTTTCCTCCCTTCTCGGAAAAGCGGCTCTCCAAAGAAAGGGGCACTCCCGATGGGCAGCAAGCCTCACTGCAGGGGTGCTGCAGCAGCTGGTGTGGCCAGAGCCTGACCTCCAGCCTAGCCCACCCAGGAAGTCCCGGCGCACCCAGCATGCAGGGCTCCCAGGCAGTCGTGTGGGCAAGCTGCTCCAAGTACAGATGTGGCCCCAGCAGGGGCCGGCCCCAGGAGCCAGCCAGGGGTGGGGGGTTGGGGGGGGGACAGGCAGCCCCGTCTGCCACTCACCTGGAAGAGCCCATGGTGGTGAACCACACCGTCCTGCGTGTGGAGGAGGGAGAGCAGAGAGTACTCGGTGTGTAACAGCATCTTGCCTTGCCTCTCCTCTTGGCTTTCTATTCCTTGGTCCCCCCTCTCCTCAAGGGTAAGGATCTTTAGGAAGGCACACACACAAAAAGACCAAAAAACCCAAAAAACAAACCTTACTTTACAAAGCAGAATGGCGTGAGCAGGAAGAGCAGGGGGCTCGCGGTCGGGCCCGCAACACCTGCACGCACACCCCTACAGGCACGTGCGACGTGCAAGGTTTCTCTTCACGTGACGGCAGTGGGATTCCTGCTCTGAGCGCAGGCCTGTTCAGAGCGAGGCTGCGTGAGCCCGACCGCCTCCCGGGAAGAGATGGTGCTCCTCTTGTTTGCAGGTGGTGTGGGTGTGAAGATGAGAAGGGGGGAGAGCAGGCTGGCGGGCCAGCCCCTGGGGACCGAGCCAACCCCGCCCTGGGCGCCTCACTCACCTTCAGCTGATAGAAGTCATCTGTGCCGTCTTTCCTCGCCAAACACTGCACAATGCTTGGCACCGGGGAGTTGCCCAGACGGGGACCTATGGCATACGGAGCCTTGGGCTTACTTTTCCGAGCCCTGTCTCTCGTGGCACCACATGGTCTTTCCACTGTTCACCGTCACAGAGTGACCTCCCCCCCAAGTCTTCTGGTGGAGGGTTCTCAGTCTCCCCTCCAACAATGGAGGAGCATGTGCGTATGTGCCTGAGGTACACCTGGCTTTTACAGGCCCGGCTTGCAAAAGGAGGGGTTTTCAACAGTGGGGGTGTCATGGAACCTCTGAGGAGTGAGTGGTAAAAGCAGAGATCCCAGCGGCAACCTGGAGCCTCTGAATCAGCATCTCCGGGCTGAGGAACTATAGCTTTGGGAGCTCCCCTGGTCGTCTGAGGTGGCCGCCTGGCCCCCATCGGAGCCCAGGTTTGGGGAACTTCTGTACTCCTGAGGTGGACACTGCTCGCTGTCCCTTGCCGGCATCCCGCCTGAGCGTTCAGAAGTCAGACAAGGTCACAGCGTCACTGCCCTTAACATAGTCGAAACTTTTTTGGCTTCCGAGGCCTTGTGTGGTTTGGTTCCTGCCCACCTCACTGATCATGTTCCCCTACCCCCTCGCCAATATTCCAGCTACACTGGGCTCTTAAGTACTAACTTGTTAAGCCCTTTCCTGCCTCTGGGCCTTTGCATTTGCTGTTTCTTCTATCTGGAATGCTCTTCCCCTGCGTTTCACATGGCTGGATCCTTCTCCTCCTCAGGAGTCAGCCCAAATATCACTTCCTCATACGGAACCTTCCTTGTACACACTCCCTGTAACCCGTCCCACTTTCACATCGTCTTGTTTACTTCTTTCAAGGCACTTACCGCCCTGCTGATGATCTTGTGCAGTGTTTACTCTGTTTCTTTTTCCAACTAGAATGTTAAGCTCTGTGAGGGCCGGAACCTGTCTGTCCTGTTCACTGCTGTGCCCCTAGCACACAGCCCAGGCCCGGCAAATGGTAGGCACTGGGAACCATCTGCCCAACGACTGGGGCTGGAGCTGTCCTATGCCCATAAGTCCGAGACGCCGCCCCAAAGCAAAACTCATAACCAGTCTCCAGTGTCCTTAGAGCCCACTTCACCCCTGCAACCCTGAGCACAGCAACCCCGATTTGTTGGGCCTTTAATGTCACGCAGAAAGACCCTGCGGCTCTTTTGGACCACCGGGCACACCTAATTCCGCAGGACTTCTGTGCCAATTTTACAAGAAATCTGGAGGGCTATACCAGATGCCCTGTGGAATCAATTGTACCCTCCAAGAATGGTCAAAGAAATGCCTGGGATGATGGGCCTTGGGTTCTGATGCAGCTTGTGTGCGCCCATGTGTGCCATGGGCTGGGGGGCAAATGGGGTGCTCTGGGGGAAGAGATAGTCTAGCTCTCAGCTGGAGCCAATCGAAGGCTGGTGAGGCTACAACAAAAATGACAAAATGGGTACAGCGTGACCTGTGACCTAAGGCTCTGGACCTTCCACTGGCACAAAGGGGCTGTACTTAGAGCCCTGAGGCTGGGGCCCTGTATGGTGCACTGTGGTGGGTGTGGCACTCCGCCCTGCACGGCCGCCCACCGGACTGCGCCTGAGGCCCACACCCCTGCCCCCCGCACCCCAGCCCACCCTGCGGGCAGAGGCTTACCCAGGATGAATGGTCCAGCTCTCTTTGCATTATTTCCAGAAATGCCACCTCCTAGAGCCTTTGCCCTGGATGACGTTTCCCCAGCTCCTCTGTCCGATGCTCTCCGCTTCATTCTCAGCTCTAGACAAGACAGAGAAGAGCCCTTCTCACTGAGCAAGTCAGCGAGTTTCCTCACACGAACCGAGCCTGCAAGTCTCTGACTCGGGGATGCGTCACACAGCTGCTGCTGCCGCCGCCTCCTCCCCCTCCCGGAGGAGCATCGAAGGTTCCCAGTGACAAAGGGCCACAGCTCCTTTCCTTGGCATTAATCGGGGGCTCAAGGGGGATGTCCTTCCAGGCCGCATATGCTGGGTACGGAGGTGGGCAGACAGCCCGCCTCAAAGGGGCCAGTCAAATGCAGAGAGGACGACACTGGCTTTGTGCAGATGCAAACTGGGGTCCCTAAGAGACCACCCCAGAGACAGAGAGGGGTGATGGCCTGGAAGTGACTGTTCCCAAAGTGAGGCCTTCCCCCCAAACACCTGCAGCTGAGTGGCCTGAGGTACTGAATCCTGGGTCTCTCTGCACCCCCACTGATCTGATCTCTGGGGCACGGTGGGGAGGAAGCCTGGGGGCCTCCCAGGCCCACCAAGTGTGAGGATGGCTGCCCAGGGGATCTCCTCTCTCAAACTCCCGACTCTTAGGTCCTCTCTAATGGAAGAACACCCAGAGTTATCAATGGGGGGATCTACTTTCTCTTCTCTTTGTCCTATTTTCAATTTTTTCTTTAATTACTTTTAAGAAAAGCATATATTGTGCCTTTAAGGGCCAGTGAAAGGGCCCTGACAGAGGTCACTGAGCGCCTGGCTCCACCTGGAAATCCCTGCCTCCTCTAGGGTTAAGATGAAAGATGGACACAGGTGCCAGATTCTAGAACATAACCTCTGGATGTGGATTAAACAAGACAAGAGAGTGGCTCCTTTTGGTTGCTTACAGTTAACAGCTCGGGGAGGCAGTGTCTTGGACATGGTGCAAGGAGGGAGGGCAGAGGGCCACAGGAATGCCCAGGGAAGGCCAGCTGCCCAGCCCTGTGGAGGGGCCCTTGGCCCTCAGGCAGCTCAGGGAAAACTTCCCTGTGGAGGTGATACTGGAGTGGGTCGGGGAAGGGGCAAGGGGCAAGGTCATGACAGGCAGAGGGACCCGAGTGAGCAAACTCACACGGGTAAGAAATGGCACAGAACCAACAAGCTCCAAGGAGTTTGCGTTGCCGGCGCGTACAGCATGAAGCAAGGGGTGGTGAGGGGTGACCCAGAGGGAGGGACAAGGGCTAGATCTGGGGGACCTGATGGCCAAGTTAGTAGTGCAGGCTTTATCCTTCCATGAAAGGCTTGGGGACACTGGACCCTAAACTTCTATAATTTTTTTCTTCATACAGAAGTAATTAGCATTCCCTGCAGAAACATTAGAAAATACAGATATGCAAAAATAAGAACACAAGGTACCCACAATCTCAGCATCCAGATGTAGTCACTGTTAACATTCGAGCGGACTTTCCTGTATGCTCACGTGAGCACGCTTCTAGTTTTCATTATTACCAACATTTGGACCACACTGTGGTACCATTTTGTAAGCCTCCTTTTCTCCCACCTAAAATACATGATGAGGGTAAATTTTATGGTAGGTGAAATATATCTCAGGAAAGCTGTAAAAAAAAAAAATCATTAACATCCCTACCTGACAGTATCCTGTAGCATCACTTGAAATATCTATACAGTCTCCCTGGTAAGAATAGGGGCGCCTGGGCGGCTCAGTTGGTTAAGTGTCTGCCTTCGGCTCAGGTCATGATCCCGGGGTCCTGGGAGCCTGCTTCTCCCTGCTTGCCCCTTCCCCTCCTTGTGCTTGAGTGCTCACACACTCTCTCTCTGACAAATAAATAAATAAAATCTTTTAAAAAAAAAGTTTAAATGTTTACGTAGTTAAATAGTTCTCTTTTCCTTTAGTTTGTTTTGCTGTTATTCCTGGAAGGCCGCCCCTTTCTACTGTGAGACAGGTGCATATTCACCAGTTAGCTTAAGTCTTCATATGCTGCCTTTCTGGCCCTTATTTCAGACCCCAGGAGACTGACTCCAGCAGTGAAATGGAAAGCAGGAGAGACAGCCTGGCCAACCTCTAGTCCAATCTACCAGGCTTGTCTCCCATCAAGCCCCAATTTGTTTTCAGAGCTGTGCCACTGAGGAGCAGACCCATGATTTCATTCTGAGAGTAACTAGGACCATGTAACTCAGTAGGCCGTGAGTTCCCAGATGGAGCAGAAGCTACAGTCAGGCTCGGCCATGACTTCTGCCAAAGAGGCTTATGGCAGAAACAGATTCTAAGTCACTCATACAAAAGCAAGGAAGAATGAAACTGCTTCTAGAAAAATCTTAAAAAGCTGGGCAGTAATGTGTCTGCAACAGTGTTCTTGCTCTTTGCCGGGCTAACTTCTATGCATCCCTCTCAATTTAAACATCACCTCCTCAGAGAAGCCTTCCCTGCTATCTCCCCCACCACTGGGTCCCAGTTACTCTATCGTGGAATTTCTATTCATAGCACTTTCCATATTTCGTGATTATGTATTTGTGTGTTTGTATGCTTAATGTCTTTCCCCACCACTAAAAATTCCACAAGGAAAAAAAAATACGTGTGTGTGTGTGTGTGTGTGTGTGTGTATGAAACCACTGCACCCCCAGCTCCTGGCCCACGCCTTCCCTCCAGCAGGAGATGGCTCTCCCTGGGTCAGCAGCCCTGTGCGGGAGCTGCCCCTGACCTGGGAGCTAAGCTGGTTTCACGTCTCTTCTGGCCTTTTCGCTGTCCTCCCTGCAGCACTAAGCCCCCCTGTCTTGCTGGTTCCCTGGAAAGCACCACGGAGGCTCCATCGTATCTGTGTAGACGCCGCCCGGACGCCTCCGCACAGGCATGGTCTAGACGACAGTTTGTGGGGAGCAGCTGCGGCACAGACAATGAGTGGGCTCAGCCTGACCCCACCCGCCCCACTCGGGATTCAGCGCAAGCGAATGGCTTGGGAACTGCTCCAAAATGTAGGCTGACAGAAGGATGGGAGCAGACGGGCAGGGAGAGGGAAAAGATGCTGGCAGGGGAAGTGGTAGCAAGGCTGTTTCCCTTCCTGAACATCCACTGCTGCCACCCAGGGCCGGGGGAGCAAAGGAAGCAGTGTGACAGGCAGACCCGGAAAATGTGGAAGCTGCCTCAGGCTCGCTAGAGGGGTGAGCGAAGACAAACCTCCTAGGAGACCCTCCCGTCCTCCACCCCCCACCCCCCCACCCCCACTGAGGCACAGGGAGGATGTGCCCCACCCTCACATCATCTTCATGGGTCCCCTTCCAGAGACACACCTGCAAATGGCCCACCAATGCTCCTGTGGGGGATGCTGCTTTGAGGGATCCCGGCTTCATGGTGAGATCCACGAAGTGGAAGTTCTGGCTACACTGGTCTAGAAGGACCTGGGGCCAGGCCCCTCAAGAGACACTGCTCCTCAGGCTGTGGGGTGAAGGGCCTGGGCCCAGTCTGGCTAAGGGGCAGCCGTTTACCTGGGTGTTTCCTGGGCCTACTGCTCGGCTCTCCAGGAACTCAGCTGTCCTGCCTTAGAAGTCTCTGGAGCTTTAAATCTGTCAACTATTCCGTGTGCTACCCTCCTAAGTTAGCACCAGTTCCCTTAGAACCTGCCCTCACCGGGAAGCTCAGTGAGGCAACAATGGGGCTGAAGGGAGAAGGCAGGGCACTCTATGGCAGGACATGGTTCAACATGGTGGACATACCATCAACCACAAAAGGAGGTGGGTCACAAAGAGATGGTGCTGAGGCTCCCCGCGAGCTCAGCCTTCCCTCAGTTCCACCCACTACAAAGGAGCTGAAGCCTGGCCAGACCAAGGAGGGGCCCATCACTCACACCCAGAAGTATCCCCTGCACGAAGGTTCACAGGCGCCCCAGGCAGCGGACACCCACACACGCACAGAACCAGACCGAGCCTCCCATCCCCCACAGGCATGAGGGGCAGCGATGGAGCCCGCCCACTGTGCCTGCAACCTCGTCTGGGCTTCTTGCTGCAACCTCTGGGTTCCTGGAGAGATGGGTGACCCTGCACACCAGCCCAGTGAAGGCAGAGGGCAAGGTCAGTCTCTGCAAGCAGCCGGTAGCACACCCCGGCCCGGCGCCTGGCTTGCCCTGTGTCTGTGTACGATGACAACGGCGGCTGGTGGCCGCAACGTGTCAGCAGCTTCCCGCACCTGCAAAGAGCCAAAGGACTGTGTCTACACTGCAGGGTCAGGCTGAGCCGATGGTGTCAAGATTCAAGCCGTCCCTGTCAGCAGCCCCCTCCACCCACCCCCACGTTTTCTGGCTCTGTCCAAACAAACCAAACCAAACAAACAAATAAAAAGTCCCCGAGTTGTGCAGACCTCTGTCTTCTGGACTTGACCTCTGGTAGTGTCTACTGAAGGCAGGGACCCTGCATCTCTGTTCAGCTCACATGGCACCTAGAAGTGAGCACAGAGCTCCCACCCATCTCTGGCCTCAATCCTATTGGCCACACATGTGTTAAGGGTCTGGGTGTCTAGACCCACACTGGACGCCAGGAGGGAGGGAGCAAGGAGTCTCGGCCGAGAGGACAGTAAGGGCGCACAGTTAATATGGTTAGAGCAACGCACCTCAGGCTTTTTCATGGCACGACACAGACAGAACCATTTGTACGACACTCGGGGGTAAAAGAACACGGGATCCCAGTCGTCCTGTGCCTGACCCAGGCACCCGCAGGCTGAAGGGATCACCATCTTGATCCACATAACCCACACTGGCTGGGAACCTCTGAGTCAGAGCAAGTCAATCCTGGTTCAAAGCCCAGCACCATCACTTAGTGGCGGTAAGATCTTGGACAAGTTACTGAGTCAGCATCTACACAATACAGAGCACAACACCTACCTTGAGGCTGGGCTCAGGATTAAGTAAGATAACCCATGCAAGCAGAGCACCTACCAGCATATTGTAAGCATTTGGTAGCTTGTGCTATTCTTAGCTTAGACACAGTAGCTTTGTATTTCTCCTACCCAAAGAGAAAGGGATTGTTACTTAATAGGCATGGAATGGGGGGAGGGGATGGGTAGAGGCAGAAGAAAGAGGGTACCCAGAGGGAAGGCTTAAGAGACCTTGAACCTGCCACCGGGCTGTTGGCCTGGGGAGGCGGCCCTCGGGGCTAACGGAGCTGCTGAGGAGGAGAGCGGTGCCGGGCAGCAGGGGAGAGCAGAGGCACACAGCATCTCGGGCTCTCGCTCGGTTCATGGGTCTAGGGGGAAGCAGGGGCTGGAGCACCAGCAGGCAGGCACCAACCCGGGGCACAGTAAGGGACTGTCCAGAGTCTGGATTTAAGACCTAGTGCCTCTAGTCCGGGATGTGCATTTGTCAAAACGACTGAACTGTATAACGAAAGGATCTGTGAAACTCACCGTGTGTATATATATGCCTCAATTTTTTTTTAAAAAAAGCTAGCTTCGACCTTAACCGAACGGTCAAAGTTAGTATCACCAATCACAGAACTGACATCCTATTACTCCTGAGGCAACATCAATTTATGGTTATTATTTTGCCCCCAATGTATAGCCTGAATGTGATCATGAGACGAACCCAACTGAGGGACATTCAACAAAAACAGGCCTGTATGCTTCAAATACACAGTGATGGGGACGCCTGGGTGGCTCAGTCGGTTGAGCGTCTGCCTTTGGCTCAGGTCATGATCCCGGGGTCCTGGGATTGGGCCCTGAGTCGGGCTCCCTGCTCAGCGGGGAGTCTGCTTCTCCCTCTGCCTCTGTCCCTCCCGCGCTTGTGCCCTCTCTCTAATAAATAAAATCCTCTTCTTCTTCTTTTTTTTTGGTGGGTAGTAAAGCAAGGTTTATTGAGCTAAAGCAAAGTGATAATACAAAGCTCTCAAGGAAGGAGGGGACCTGAGGGGGTTGCCCTCAAATAAATAAAATCTTAAAAAGAAAACATTTAACCAGAACAAAACAGTGATGGATAAAGGAAGACTGAGGAACCAGTCTAGATTAGTGGAGACTAAAGACATAAGACAAGTAAATGCAGTGTGAGATCCTGGGAGTTATGACTGGGCAACTGACAAAATCTAAATACGGACTGTATGGATGTTAAATTTCCTGAATTTGAAAACTGCACTATGGTTACGGGGGAGAACTCCTTGCTCTTAGGTGAGAGATGCTGAAGAGTTTGGGGGTGAGGGGTCACGATGCCTGCAATTTACTCTGAGGTCAGAGACAGGAGAAAGAAAGTGCGAGCTGCTGGATGGAAGAGCTCCCAAGGTCCTTGAGGAATCTGTTGTCCAGGTTCACAGAGTCAAAGGGACTCCTTGTGGGGACACAGTCCCCAGTGGCAGGCCGGGGGGATCTCATCCTTGTGGGGCAGAGGCAGGCTGGCAGGAACAGTAGTTGTGTCTAGAACGCCCCCCTTCCGCCCCTGCAAACACTGTGCTAAAGGGAAAGAGGTCTTTGTGCCAT